TTTTTTTTTTTGTTTTGTTTTTATCGATGTATGTATGTATGTAAGGCATAACGTATTGAGAGAACATACATAAATTAATGTTATGCGCTCTAATACTTATGCATATGTATATTCCATTTATATCTTTTCCCGAAAATCCAATTAGGCGCGATTTGTATGTTTTATGGCAAAGAGTGTAGAAAATTACAACTTCGGTTGCACAACAATAATGGGCTCATCCCTAAGAGAAATGGAAAATGTGGAAAATTGTTTTTAGTGTTAAAATGCGTGAAGAGAAACATATGCAATTGAGTGCCAAGAGTGGTTAATGATTATTTGTTAGTAATGCTTGGGATAGTTAAGTTTTTGATAGAGGAAACATAAAAGTTCGCTGACGCATGCACATACATATACATGATTTTAGAGCGGAAATATATTCGTTGGATGATATCTGCAATAAAAATGATAATAATTATAACTGTACGCCAATAGCTAAGGCAAACAAAGCGAAAAAGGCTATGCACAAAATTTTTAAAAATAAATACAAACCGTTTGATAAAAAGCAAGTGAAGGCATGATAATTTGGAAACACACTTTTCACCACTCAACCTCAATGAATTTGAGTTTTCAATATCTTATTCATCACTTTGTTTAAATACTATTAGAAATAAGAAGCCTGAACTAAGGAATGCTGTCCAACAAAGGCTTAAAATATACATATAAGTAACTACCAGATATACATATGTAAATGAAAAAGAAAACAGCCCGTAGTTGCTGGCCATTTATGAAGTGGTTTTCTATGACCCCTACAGAGGGTAAATGCAGCGAAACGTTGTTTTAACCGTTGAATATTAATAAATATAAAGGGGATTTAGAAATTTCATCATTCGCCACCACCAACTATCATGCGTGATTAACCGCACAGCCTATTTGACTGTCGTAACAAAAAAATAAAAAATGTGAGACAATTTTCTACAAATTGTGTGCAATGTTAGAGTAAGAAAATAAGGTGTGGTGCGGCAAATTTTGCTTCTAGAATAAAATAAAATACTTTGGTGTCGAACAGAAGTGTATTTACAATTTAATATTTTATATACAGATACTTAAACGTAATAGTTAAATATAAGCGAAAAATTAAAGCTAACTGCAATCATTAACAACTTCAACAAAAGCAAAATAAGTAAGTACAAGTGAACGAGAAACGTGCAACTACTAAATTAGGCTACATACAAACGTAAATTGCAAATCAGGTTACAAAATAAGAACAACTTTTAATGGAAACATTAAGGAGGAAACAAATAACATTAAGGAACAAACAAAACAAAGGGAAAATTTTGATTCATAAGGAATATTGCTTTAGTGGAATTACTGCTTTTTAGGAAGCTCATTGTAAGAGGAAAAAGTGCACTAGAGAACACATCAACTTACATATGCTCAGGGTGATTACGTATGCAATCAATAAAATCTTGAACTTTCAACTGACTTGTGCAGATCTTATGAATGGCCGTGAACAGTGGGAATCTGTAAGCAAAAATTTGTTAAAATTATTAGATATTAAACTAAACAAACAGTTGTGTGCATATTTACTTTTCTTCCAAGCCCTTGTTCTTCAGCATGTAATTCACTTCTTCGGCGGTGGGGGGACCTTGCAATTTCTGTCCATTCAACATTTCGTTTTCGAGTTGTTCGATAGTTTTTCCAGTTTTCACAAAAGCCTCTGCAACGCGACGGTTACGACCACCTATTAAAGAAATGAAAATATACAATTGTAGCATATTTAAATTTAACCTTCTTCATCTCTACAATGACCTACCATAGCAAGTGGTAATCAGATCAG